ACTATGGTGGCCTCTGGGCTGCCCAGCTGCTGACCTCAACCTTGACTGGCCAGGGGTAAGGTGGGAGGCTGTCAGGGTAACCCAGGCCTGCCTGGAGCCCAGAGTAATGATAGGTCAACAGAGCAGGCCTCATTATGTGGAGCAACTTCATGATGTGGCTGTTTTGTGTGCATTTTTTTCCGTCTTGAAAATGAGCTGAGAACCTTCCCAAGATTACAAGTTGGATTGGTGATGAAAGGTCTGTCCTGTGCAGAAGGAGCCCTAAGGCAGGAATTTGCAAGTCCTTTTGTTGAAAATGGCTTGTTCTATGGCCTAAACAAAAACAAGGAAAAAGGGAAATCAATAGGGAGCATTAGAATCATCTCAGCCTTTGTGAGGCTGCCTGGGATTCTCTGGCAGATCGCCACGGCTGCCAAACATTCCTACCTGCACACAACTCAATAAGACACCTAGATTAATAAATCCCTAGAAGACTTTAGAGAACATCACTTGGCCCATGTTCCCCAACCCAGGCAAAACTGTGCTTCCATCAGTCACTTTGCAAAGAGCCCTGAACAACATGGATTAGTCAAATGGAATGGATGCACAATGGACAGACAGATGGACAGATGGACAGATGGACGGACAATGAATGCATGGATGGATGGATGGATGGATGGATGGATGGATGGATGGACACACAAATGAGTGGGTGGGCGGTGGGTGTATGGATAGGTCAAAGATGAGAAAGTCTACCCTATTTAAAATATCTCAGCGAAAAGAAATACCCAGGGCTCATGTTAGTACCCATGATAATAGGGCAGCAGAGGAGGCATCTCAGCTTTAGCCCGAGCAGGAATTTTGCCATATCTGCAAGAGTGGTAGCATAGGCCACGCCTAATCCATCCCCATGAGAGATGAGGAACCAACTGGAAACAATTCCAACTCAAGGGAAGAGCAAATCAGACACACGAGCTTGACCCTATAACAAAATCTTAGTAGTGGCAGGGACAAGGATGGCTGTGTGACATTGAACATGAATTTGTGTCTAGATCAGGCCCTGGTGACAAGCAGATACCCAGGAAGCTGTGTCCAGATGGTGGCACATAGTGACACCCAACAGAAACCATTTTTCTCTAGGAACCTGAGACAGTTCCAAGTGACCACATGCTAACTAGCAAGCCCAGAGGTCTTGGCGCATATGACCTTAAGTGCATGGGCATTGGATTCAAGTCATAACCCCATACTAACTAGTTTTCTGTCCTAAAAAAGCAAATATTTTTTGATATTTTGTATTGAAAAATATGTATAATAAAATTCACACTTTTAAAGTGTACAATTCAGCATTTTGGAGTATATTCACAAAGTTGTGCAAACATCAGCAATATCTAATTCTACACCCCATACTTGCTAATAGTTACTTTGCATCACTCCTCCTGTCTCCTAGCACCACTAGTCTACTTTCTGTCTCTATCTTTTTGCCTGTTCTGGACATTTCACACAAATGCATTCATACAATGTGGGACTTTTTTTTGCTTCCTTCACTTACCATAATGTTTTCAACGTTCATCCATGTTATATCATGAATCACTATTTCATTTTTTTTACAACCAAATAATATTCAATTACATGAATATACCACATTTTGTTTATCCATTCATTAGCCGATGGGTCTTTTGGCAAATATGAATAATGCTGCTATGAACATTCATGTTCACGTTTTCGTGCAGACGTATGTTTTCAGTTCTCTTGGTGGAATTCCTGGGTCGTAAGATAACTCTGTTTAATTTTTTGAGGAATTGTCTAATTGTTATCCAAAGTAGCTATACCATTTTACATTCCCACCAGCAATATAAGTGTTCCAATTTCTCCACATCCTTGCCAATACTTATTCTCTGTCTTTTTGACCATTGCTATCCTAGTGGATGGGAAGTAGTGCCTTGTGATTTGAATTTGCATTTTCCTAATGACTAATGATATTGAGCAACTTTTTTTTTTGGGGGGGTGGAGTCTCACTCTGTCGCCCAGGCTGGAGTGCAGTAGTGTGATCTCGGCTCACTGCAACCTCCCCATCCCAGGCTCAAGCAATTCTCCTGCCTCATACCCCTGATAGCTGGGATTACAGGCGTGCACCACCACACCCAGCTAATTTTTGTACTTTTTGTAGAGATGGGGTTTCGCCATGTTGCCTAGGCTGGTCTCAAACTCCTGGACTCAAGCGAACTGCCCACCTCAGCCTCCCAAAGTGTTGGGATTACAGGTGTGAGCCACCATGCCCAGCCCAACATTGGACACTTTTGTATGTGTTTATTGGTCATTTGTATATCTTCTTTGGAGAAATGTCTCTTCAAATCCTTTGCCCATTTTTAATTGGTTATTGGTCTATTTATTATTCAGTTGTAAGAATCCTTTATGTATTCCAAATATGAGACCATTATAAGATATATGATTTGCAAATACTTCCCCCATTTTGTGGGTTGTCTTTTCACTTTCTTGATAGTGTCCTTTGAAGCATGAAAGTTTTTAATGAAGTTCATTAAACTTTTTTTTTTTAAGTTTTAAATGAAGTTCATTAAAAAAATGTTTTGATGAAGTTTAAGTATTTGTTTTTGTTTGCTTGCATTTTTGGTGTCATATCTAAGAAACATGGCCTAATCCAAAATCATGAAGATTTACATGTATGTTTTTCCTTTTAAGAATGTTACAGTTTAGCCATTTAGGTCTTTGATCCATTTTGAGTTAATTTTAGTTTATAGTGTGAAGTAGGGGTCTAACTTCATTCTTTTACATGTGAATATCCAATTTTCCCAGCACCACTTGTTGAAAAGACAATTATTTCCCAATTGAATTGTTTTAGTATCCTTGTCCAAACATAATTGACCCATGAATCAATGTATGTGTTTATTTCTGTACTCTCAATTCTATTCCAGTGATCTATGTGTCTATCCTTATGCTACTACTATACAGTCCTGGTTATTGTAGCTTTGTAGTAAGTTTTGAAATTGGAAAGTATAAGTCCTCAAACTTCGTTCTTCTTCTTCAAGGTTATTTTGGCTGCTATGGGTCCCTAGAACTTCCATATAAACTTGAGGATTTGTTTGTCATTTCTGCAAAAAAAGGCCGCTGGGATTTTGGTAAAGATTCCATTGATCTGTAGATTGCTTTGGGGAGTCTTGCCATTTAACAATATTAACTAATTCAATCCATGAACACAGGAGGATGCCTTTCCATTTATTTAGCTCTTCTCTAATTTCTTTCACCAAGGTTTTGGAGTTTCAGTGTATAAGACTTACACTTCTTTTTAAAATTTATTCCTAAGTATTTTATTCTTTTTAATGCTATTGTATATGAAATTATTTTAATTTCATTTTCAGGTTATTCATTGCCCATGTACAAAAAGACAATTGACTTTTATGTATTGATCTTGTGCCCTGATACTTTACTGAACTCATTTATTATTTCTAATGGAGCAAGTTAGAACATCACAATGCTTACTGTTCTTACTGAGATTCAGCCATTTTTCTTATGTAAATGCTACCCAGACTGCTGTAAGTCTTTGCTCAATTTCCAGAGTTTCAGAAAAGTTGAATTCTGACCATTTTTGCCAGGATTCACATTGCTTTTATGGAGAAGAGAGTCTTTTGAGGTCCTTATTCCACCATTTTCACTGACATCACCCAGCTTGAGGAAGTTTTCTATGCTTCCATTTCCCCAACTGCACAATGAATTGCTTATCTTTCCATAATTTTTTGGAGATGATTAACCAGGTAATGTGGTAAAGTGCCTGACATTACCTGGCACTAATAAGTATACAGGCAACTTCTTGTCACCAGAGACACAGGAAGGAACTGGCAATGGATGTTCAGTGGCTGCCTGGCCGTGTTTGTGAGCACACAGCGGTGCAATCCTCGGAAGACTGAGTTTGTCCCCAAACAGCCTCCTGGCTGGGCCCCAGCCTGGGCTACAGTCAGTTCTTCAGACTCCAAACTCACCTTTCCCTCCCACAGTGCACCACCTCAGTGTCCACTCCCTACCAGGAACGTGTTACCGCTCCAGGTAAAGGAGGGGCTGAGCGCAATTATGCTCACAAGGCCAAGTGAGGTCCATAAAGCCTAAAGGCAGCCAAAGCCATCTCAGGCCTCAGCCAGGTTGGGGGAGGCAGAAAAATCCATCCTTTTAAACCACACCAGCTCCACCCACCTCCACTTCAGGCCAGCCCTGGTTAGTAGGACCTTCATGAGTGGTTCTGAGAAGACTAAACCCGGAGATTATGTGATCTGTGGTATCATCCTGAGAGAGCAACTGAGTCATGCAGTTAACCTGGATGCCCATCCAGTGCCTTCTCCCGGCTGCACAGGGCTCCCAAGCACATTAGCTCAGCCTCAGTAGCTCTGAGGGGGTGGTTCATGAGCTGGGCGTGCACAGCTCCATCCAGATGCTCCACTCATACCCACACTCCCTGAGCTCCTGACCAACTTGACAGCTGTTATCCCCTTTTCCGGAAAAGCCTCTCCCTCCACCCCTACATGCTCACCTCAGTCTTTTAAGGTCTGGTTCACGTGACCTCCCAAAAGACCCTCCCTGGAATCTTCTTTGCAACCGCTTTTCCTCATTCAGCAAATATTTGCCGAGCGCTTGCTGTGTTTCAGACACCATCCTGGGTGCTGGAGGCACCACAGTGAACTTGCTCTCAGGGAACACACATTCTAGTAGCAAGAGCCTGCAAGTAAACAAGTAAATGTATAATATGTGGGTGGTGACAGACTCTGAGAATAAAAGGAAAAAGGTGGCTCACACCTGTAATCTCAGCACTTTGGGAGGCTGAGTTGAGAGGATCACTTGAGCCCAGGAGTTTGAGACCAGCCCAGGTAAGACAGTGAGACTCCCGTCTCTACAAAAAAAATGCAAAAATTAGGCAAGTGTGATGGTGCATGCCTGTAGTCCTAGCTACTTGGGAGACTGAAGTGAAAGGATTGCTTCAGCCCAGGAGGTTGAGGCTGCAGTGAGCTGTGATCAGGCTACTGCACTCCAGCCTGGGCAACAGAGTGAGACCCTGTCTCCAAAAAAAATTTTTAAAAGGTTAGAATTCGGTTAGGGGACACCATTTTAGGTAAGGTACACAGGAAGGCCTCTCTGATAAGACAATAACTGAACAGAAACCTGAAGGAAGGCAGTGAACATGCAAATATCAAGAAGGGTGTTCTACTCAGAGGGAATAGCAAGTACAAAGGCCCTGTGGTGGGACCGTGGGAATCTTAGAGAACAACAAGGAGGCTGGGGTGGCCAGATTGGCATAAATGAGGAGGAGAGCAGCAGACAATGAGCCCAGGAGACAGCAGGCACCAGACCTGGCCAGCCTTAGAGATTACGGTAAGAACTTGGGATGTCCCACGATGTGGGTTTAGAATCCAGTGAAGGTTCCAAACAGAAGGGTGACATACTCCGAATTGCATTTTGAAAGGACCGCTCTGGGTGCCACGTTGAGAACAGACTGTGACGGGCCAGGGATGGACTCAGAGGGACCAGTTAGGAGGTGGTTGTGGTAATTCAGACCTGATAAGATGCTAGCAGAGGTGGTGAGCAGCCGTCAGAATCCAGATATATTTGGGATGTGGAGCCAGTAAGACAGATGTGAAATATGAGAGAAAGAGGAATCAAAGATGACCCCAAGGCCATTGACTTGCGATACTGAAAACATGAAGCTGCCATTTATGGAGATGGGGAAACCAAGCACATGGAGTAGAATGGGTGAGTCTTGACCTTGACCTTCTGCCTCTAAGGTCATGCTCCTCTCTCACAGATGCAGCCCCAGTTATGGCATGACATGACTTTAGCGGGTCTTCCCGAGCCATTGGCAGACATCTGCAAGTTTTATCTTTTGATTGGGGGCACCTTGGACATCTCCAACTGAGATCCTCTTTCCTCCAGTCATGTTGTCTGAATGTACTGGGAAGCAGCAGGGCTTGTCCAGGTCATGATGGTGACAAGAGGCAGCAGGCTGGACACCCCCGTGAGCAGAGCCAAGCTGAGGCAGTGAGGCTCACTCCAGCAGGGCTGGTAGGAGCGGAGGAGCAGGTATCAGGGCAGGAGGCCTCGCCTCGCCTGCACAGTAGAATCACGGGGGAATTTCTGCCCGGGTCCTACTCCAGGCCAATTGCCAGAATGTGGGGGTAGGAGCCAGGCATCCATGGTTTTTAAAGTTCCCTAGTATTCGGCCAAGGTCGAGAGCAATTTCCTTCAGTCAGCAAGTGTGTCTTCAGTGCTTCTTGTTGTTTGCTGATTCCAACTATGCTTAGCAAGAACCTAGGCACTGTGGGGGGAGGAAACACCCCTGTCCTTACAAATTAAGGTGAAGCAGACAGGGACTGCAGGGCATTCTCTTCCTACTCTGCACTGAAATCAAATCAGACTCTCCGAGATAACATTGAGTCCTCCTAGTCTCATTTTATGCATCTCCATCTCTAGCCCTGCTTTGAAGGTGAAGCATATTTCAGAGATTATTTTTAAATGCAATCTGGCAAAGCCCTGCCCAGAAAGTCTCCCAAAAGGGCCCATGGTGTGTGGAATGTGGCAGAGAGGTGACAGAGTGCGGGCTGAGCCAGCAATGTCCCAGGTGTTCCTTTCCTGGCCATGGGCACTGGGTAGGCAGGACTGAGAGGAAAGTGAAAGAATGGCAGTTCCCCCAGGGCAGACTGACCCACAGACAGGTCCAATTTCAATTCCAGATGCAGGAGGCTGAGATGCAGGCTCCTGCTCCCCACATTCATGCCCATCAGCAAGCCATGCCATATCCAGCAGACAGACAGCCGTTCAGTGCACAGAATACCCCTCCAGGCCAGCAGCAGCTGTCACCCCTCTTCAGTCATCTGCTCTTCAGACACTTCTGTGGACAGAGCCCAGATAACTTGATTAAGGTAAGATGAAATGAGAAACATTTGCTCCTTTAAAATCGCTAACATCTGTCCTGGCCAGCAGAGCCACAGCTCTTTGTAACTGAGGAAAGACAATCCCTGAGAAGTCTGGGTGTGGGAACGATGGCGCTCCCGGTGCACCCACCTCCCACCTGCCTGCCCCTGGGAGCCTGCAGGGAAGACAAGGCATTGCTGTACAAGGACCTGGACTTGAGTCTTGACTCCACCAAGACTCTGTGTGCCCTTGAGGCAGATGGTGACCTCTCTGGACTTCAGTTTCCTTGCATGTTTGCCGGGAGGAGGAGCTAGAGGATGCGAGCAGGTGCAGAAGACATGAGGCGGTGCTCCATTTGCCCCTGCAAAGACCTCCTTCCTTCCTGTGAGCCCGGAAGGAAGAGAGTGAAACCACCGGCACATGGCCACAGCCTGACCTTATGGAGGTGGCCTCAGTGGCTGGGGATGGGTCTGGCTTTAGTGTCTGGTCAAGCGAATAAATGACTTTCAAGAACTGTGTACAGGGAGGTGTTTGGCAGGTGGACCCAGGGCTGGCCCCAGAGAGAGACCACTGTGATGCCACTTCATAGCTGATGACATGAGGCCGAGAGGCATCTGAAGATATGACAGTTACTCATTGCCTGTCCAAGTCAGCGAGGACACAGGGAAGGAGCCAGGGATGGCGGTTCTGGCATCTCCCACGTCGACAAGACGGCACCACCTAACACGGCCACAGCTTCCCCACTTCTGTGCAGGCTCCAGACTGGGTCCCTATGGTGGATTAATGATGGCCACAATTCCTTGTCATTCTCCCATCAAGAGGTGGAATTTCCTTCCCTCCCATGGACCTGAGCTGGCCACAACAGCTTAACCAAAGGAAGGAGGAAGAAGTGACGCTGGGCCAGCTTCTGGCTAAGTGTTAAGAAGGCTTCTGCTTCCGCACTTTGAGGAGCCCTGAGCCTCCATGTGAGAAGTCCCCAGCTCCCTTCACCAGAAAGGCTGCATGGAGACACCTCATAGAGAGGCCACATAGGGAGCCAAGGCCTTGAGACGACGTGGAGAGGCAGCTGTTCTGGGCCCCTGGGAGAGCGTCCAGGGGACTCCAGCCCAGGCACCTTCTGCCTGCAACCTCCCAAGAGACCCCAAGTGAGACCAGCCAACAATCGCCCAACTGAGCCTAGTCAACCTGAGGAACCATGGCAGGGAATAAGCGCTTGCTGTTCCAAACCATTAAGTTCGGGGTGGTTTATTACACAGCAGTGGATCAGTAGAGACCTCTCCATTGCTGTCTTTAGGTAACTTTCTGTTGCCTTCATCTAAGAGCCGGGCCCCAGAAATCAGAAATTCCCCCGCATCAGGGTCCCTGTAGGGCATCTCCACAGCATCCCTTGTGGTGCATGTGTCTTCAGGTCACCTCCGACTTTTATGTGTCACACAATATTCAAGTGTAGAGGATGCAGGAGGCACCAGATGGACCTCGAATTGTGAAATCCCAGGAGCCCATCTCCTGGTTCTTGTGGGCAGGCTTAAAACACAAACAGGCGCTCCTGATTTGTTTTCATCCTCTTCCCTCTCCTGGGACCGATTCTGATTCAGCCCCTCGGAAGTGCCGTCTGTTCTGGCCACTCAGTGCCCTTCAGGCCTGGCTTGTGCTCACGCTGTCGGCCTGGGGCCCACTCCCAGCATCAGGGCAGCTTGGTTCTTGCAGCCTCTTGAGTGCGGACTCAGCCTCCTCAAATCCCTGCAAGGCCTCCTGCTTCAGGGCAGCTCTGACGGGGTGGCCCGAGCCGCATCCTCACCAGCACATCCTGACGAACCCAGCCAGCCTCCAGACTCCCCTAACCACTGGCACTCCCTGACAGGAGCCCCAGTCTTCCAGATCAACAGGGAGATACTAAAAACTCTCATTCTGAACCAAGTAACTCTCTCTAAAAGAGAGCCAAGGCCCCTTCACTCACTTTGGCCCCTACTCTAAGCTTTGGCCTTGGAGGGACAAGTATGGTTTATAGATATTTTTAGGAACAATTTCAAATGTACACGAAAGCAGAGAGAGATGCAGATTAGACTCCCATGGGCCGTCCCTAGGGCTCATGGCATTCTCATTTCCCATCGCCTAGCCTCTGTCTCTGCACTCCAGGTTACTCTGAGGCAAATCCTGGCTATCACATCATTTCGTTGTAAATATTGAGGCGTGCAGCTCTAGAAGCGAGGACTCCCCTCTTCAACTACAGTACCATCGTCCACACTTTCTGAGAATCTCATCTGGGCCGGGCCCTGCCCCAAATGCCTCCCAGGTAAGGCCCACTGTGGAATGTGCCAGAAATGAGACCGTAGGGCTGGCCCTGAGGCATCAGCTCCCCGGTTTGGGGGACTCCATAGAACATGGTAGGGCCAGAAGCCAGAGGAGAGTGAGAGAATCACAGACACACACGCAGGACAAGATTCCGAAAGCCGACTAGACTTGGATGCAGCCATGGTGCTGCCCTGTGCACCGACACCCCATCTCGTCACCTTCCCCACCAGAGCTGCCTGGCCTGGTTTTAGTGTCCTTGGGTGGCCTCAGAGCTGCAGACTCCCAGAAGGTAAAAATGGCTTAGTTGTTCACTGTCACCCCGAGAATAGTGCAGATTCCAGTGAACAGCCAGGCCCAGCAAGGGCCATCTGCCCGTGGACCCCGCACCAGCGTCCCTGTGCTGCCCTCCTCGGCGCTACCCAGAATGCCTCACTCAGAAGCATGGCGGGACTCCTGGCTTTCCCATACATGTGAAACAGGGTCCAGAGCAGGGGAAATAAATACAAGAAATTAAAGGCTGTTTTCATTAAGTAAAATTTTGAAAACAAGTTAGCTTGCAGATTCCTAAAACGCAGTAATTATGCCTTTATGCTGTTTTGTGTCTCTCATAGTTTCTATACCAACATTTCTAACCTTGACACTATGGAATTTCAAGCCAGACCCTTCTTTGTTGTGGGGGGCCATTCTGAGCATTGTAGACTCCCTAGTCTGTACCCCCGGATGCTAGCAGCAGCCTTTCTTCTCCAAGCTGTGACAACCAAAAATGTCTGCAGACGTTGCCAAATGTGCCCTGGGAGGCAAAGCTACCCTTTGGTTGACAGCCGCTGATCTATACAACAGTGAGTATTGAATTCATTTGTATCTTCATTTATTTCTATTTGTCTTCAGTTCCCTCTGAAAGAGATGTTTACTAGATAAATTGGAAATGAGGGGGTGACTGAGGATTTTCTCTTTAAGAGCCTCATGTTTGCCTGTCTTAAGGGTTTTGATAAAACTCGCCAGCAGTTTTGTGATCACAATGGCTATTAAGACTCCAATACATATATTATACTTAAACCAGAAGCAGCTCAACAAAATAAAAACTAAGCAAGTAATTGTGGTATATTGAGTAATAAGACTAACTTTTTTTGTTTTTGAAATTTTTTTTTTTTTTTACAGAAGATGGTCGCTATGGTTGGAGACAGAAATAAGTCGACCTACTGTGATATGTTTCCCATAGACTCTTTCTGAGAACTCAGGTCATAGTTTTACAGGACTCGACCAAAGATTTGTATCCATTGTTTGGATTTTTTTTCTCATTCTATTATTTTTCCTTTTTTATTGCACCCCTAAAAGAGGTAAAACACCTTCACAATGTCCACATTGCAGCAAAAGCTATAATATCTGTGGGATGATTTACATCTAGCTAAAAATTTAGAAGTTTCTGGAGCAATCAGTCCTCGCTTTCGCTGATGATTTCAGTAGATGGTTTGGCCCTGCCCTGCTCTCAGGAAGTCCAGATGTCTTCCTTGAGCTCACAGATACTGGTGCTGGGGGAAAGGTCCCAGGTTAATGATCACCAGGCCAAGGCAGGCTGGCTGAGCAGTTACAGAGATGCTCACCATGGGCCTCAGGGTTGAGGCTCCAGGAGCTCAGGTCTCAGGCCAATGCCATGTGGCCACAGTGCCTGCTGAGGGTGCAGCCCCGCGAATCCCCAGATACAGTGCAAGGGCTTCCTTATAGATGAATTGTCACTTTAGTAAGCAGAGAGCAGGGCCATGAGGTAATGGACTGAGAACAGGCGGGGCTGGTGAAGAAATAGAGCAAGGAATGGGTATCTGTAGCCCCTTGGAAGAAGCAGCAGAGAGCTCCATAGGAGTGGGAGGCCGGAACGGAGCGGCTGATCTGCCTCCCAAAACTGTGCCTTAGACCGAACCTCTCTCCAGCCCGAAAATAGGCCAGGAGGGCTGGGCTGCCTGTCCCCGCAGCCTCTTTAGGGTGGGGGTGGCAAGAATGTTCCTCTGCAGCGACACATCCAAGCCTCTCCCACATTGTCAGCCACTCTGCTTTGAGGCTGAGCTCCAACCCCTCCCAGGAAGGAGGAAGAAAAGACTCATGGCCGAGACCAAGTCCCAGCAGGCGTCTCCTTAGGACAGAAGATGGAAACGTTAACCTTTTCTGCTTGCTGAGCAGGCAGAGAAAGGAAGGCTGTTGTGAAGAATGGGACCCTGGGCACACTCCGTGCTTGGGGACATGACGTGCCCTTGACCACGGTGCACAGGGCAGAGGGTTGGAAAGCACTGACAGTTCTGCACAGGGGAGCCATTCAGGCCCCTGGGTTCCCACAGGGCTGGCCAGTCAGCGCCTTGCGGGTGCCCAGCTGGGCTGGGAGTGTCCCCTCTCCCACGGTGGTAAACACGGCTGGCCTCGGGAGGGGCTGCACAGACAGCCCAGTACACCCAGCAGGCCGAGCCCAGCTCATTCCACTGAGCCGTGGGGGCCCTGGGGACTTAACCAGAAGCCCGTGTCTGCTAACAGAAGGCACTTTGTTTCCTGGAGTGGGCGGCACTTTCTTCTCCTCTCCCTTCACAGAGGACAGGGCCACGGAGGCATGTTTAAGTTATTGTTATTTCCAGCTTGGCAAAAATGTAAATGTGAGAGTTCACATTGACGGAAAATAGACAGCATTTTCCCTGTGGACGGGTGCGGCTGTCACCCACTGCTCGGGTCCAGGAGGGCAGCTCCCTGAGGGAGGCCAAGGGGCTGGGAGGGTGAGTGCACACAGAAGTCAGAAGTAAAGAGCCACCAGCAAATGTGACCCACACGGACACCTTCACCCCAGCTGCACTGGGCTCTCCCACTGTGCTGTGATGATGCAACCCGGGCCTCATGCATATCCCTGGGCCTGCCCCGGTGCGGGCTGCCTGTGGCCTGTCCGCTTGCCTTCCCCAGATAAAGAGTCATTCTGTTCCTGGAGCTTTCATGGGGTCTCATTTAATCTCCATTACAATAAATTCATTCATTCATTCA